ATTATTCCAAACTAAACTAATTGATCTTAAAGTGTTGCTTCAGGTGCTTTCATCATTCCTTACCTGACCATGGTGCTCCGGTGTGGCATTCCTCTGCTCTTCATGGAGTTTGTTATTGGGCAGTAAACTCGTCTAGGACCAATGCATGCCATCACCAAGATCTGCCCCCTATTAAAAGGTGAGTGACTCCTCTTATGGGAATGAACATCAGACAGAATCATCTTTTTTACCCTCATGTAGAAATCAATTAATTCAAATATGCGCAGAAAACTGATTCTTATTCTCTCTTAAGTGGACGTCTCACCCATCAACAATTATTAATTATAAAAATGGTTTCAATATTATACTAAACACTATTTTTTTCCTTTCTTCTTTACAAAACAAGATAATCTATCCAGTCAAAATATTTTTCACTTTATTTATCACTCATTTTCTTCTGGTTAATTCTCTGTACTAAATAAGAGCCACAAACAGATTTGTTTTCCTGGATTATTTTACTGTTCAACTTATTTTTGGTTTGCAGTAATGTGATCACCAGTCACACACACTCACATTTAAATTTCTGCTTGAATCCACCTTCTTAGTTATTTCATTTTCTGCATCTGGGCGTCCAAAGAGGTGGAAAGGAAAAAATATTTTTGGAATGATTTTGTCTTCTCTGTTTTGTTTTTAGTTTGTTTGATCAGAAAGATGCATAAAGTGAAAGATTCTTATCTGAGGCTGACTTTTTGCCATCTATCTTAGATTAATTGAACCGCACCTGCAACTATCATCCAGGGTCTAAAATAACTGATGATAAATAATGTTTTTATTATATTTATTAGACAATAACATATTTTATTTCTGAGTGTTGCCTGTCACTTTGCCCWCCGTCCCTCTACGTATCACTCTGCAGGTGTGGCTCTGGCCACTGTTGTCATCTCCRTTGTGTTTTCCACCTACTATAACGTCCTCATGAGCTGGGCCCTTTATTATCTGTTCAGCTCATTCGGAGCCGCTCTACCCTGGGCGTCTTGCAACAGCACCTGGGTYGTTACTGAAAACTGCTCCAGTGGTTTCCCCGGAAATGCCTTTCACCTGCAATCTCCAAGCCAGCAGTTTTTCCATTGAGAACATTCTCAGGACCTTATGATTGATTGACGTGTTTACACCTTTTAAAYCTCGTCTTTATCTTTAATAATGAAAGCTTTCCTCAGCTTTTTGACACACAAATGATCCCATCTGTTTGCATCTTTCTAGTCACAAGCTTCTAGAGAAGACTAATGGCATTGAAGAAGTCACAGGCCTCCGCTGGGAACTATTTGGCTATCTTCTTATTACCTGGGCCATCATTTATTTATGCATATGRGAGTCAGATCAGCTGGGAAGGTGAGTACAGCGGCTGTTTGTCTGTGTGTGTAYGCTTCATCAAAACTATTATTCATGCAAAAAAAATAATTGATCATAAAACAATATTTTCAGGGAGAAGCGGTGGTAATATACTTGAGAAAAAGCACATTTAATTGCACACATCCTTCATTTTTACTTGTTTGTGTCGTATAGGTTGTGTATTTTACTGCAGTGTTTCCGTACTTCATCCTGTTTGCTCTGCTCATCAATAACGTGCAGCTAAAGAGGGTGTCCTGTATTTTGTGACACCCGTTTGGAGCAAACTGTTTGAAGTGAAGGTGAGAAAACAACACACAGACTGATTATAATGACGCTAGTGTAAGCTGGTACAAAAACAGTTTAAACTTGATTACATGTTGCTATTTTGTGAAATAAATACTGTCAGTTTTATACTTATTTTGCCTCTTTTTATCAAAACACAAACATTTAATACACCTATGTATATTAGATTGAAGCATTTCTTGTCAAAATATAGTTTTTTGTGTCAGAAGAAATGAAAAAAAACTTTAGATAGGTTGAGGAGTTCTGTGAAAAGATTATAGACAAATAATGTCTTACCTGTTGCAGATAGCTCTTAACAATAAAAAAATACTTTATTTGGATGTATAGAAATGGTTTCCAAAGGCTTTAAAACTAAACTAAATAAAACTGCTAATAAAATAAAAAGTTATTTTTCATTTTCTCTTCGATCGTAACAGGTTTGGATTAATGCAGCGGCCCACGTGTTTAATTCACTTGGAATTGCATTTGGCTCGATGATTTCAATGGCAAGTTATGACAAGTTCAACAACAACATTTTCAGGTAAAAATTGAATTTTTTTGTTGTTTTGAAAATCAGTTTTATGCCTTCAACTTTTAAGTTGAGTGAGTTTTTACATTGCTCTTGTGATTTCAGGGATGTGACCAACTCGTTCAGTATCCTGRCTGGATTTGTGATCTTCTCAGCTGCTGGCTACATGGCTCACATTCATCATCTCCCAGTGGAGAACATAGCTGCAGATGGTGAGATTCAACARTTCTTTCCTTTGAAAGTTTTTACTCTGACCTGACTGGCTTCATTATGTTTAAATGTTGCACATTTAGTCGCTGTGAGGAGCTGTGTTTAGTTTAATTTGCCTCTCGAGTATTCCTTTTGTTTGTTTCGCATTTTAGGTTAGAACAGATTTTTGTTCTTCACAGATCTTTATAGTTAAACTTTCATGTGAAATGTTGATTTTCCTCATAAGAAGCAGCATCACTCAGAGCCAGCAGCTGTTTAATATTTCAGTGTCAGGAGAGTTTTCTAAAGGTTAAAAACTGTAATTGTTGACATGTTTAGACTTACCCCAGCTGTGCAAACAGTGTCAGCACAAGTTGTTTGTGTTGTTGGTTTACAGCAAGACAGTTCTGGTTCTGAACCTGCTGGGTCTAGCTTCTGGAAACAGTTACAGTGAAAAAAAAATTGTTTGAGTTTTGAAGTCCAGAAAGAAATGTGTCCCACACTCAGAATTGGTTACCATGATCACTAATTAAACCAGCCTGTTGTTAAAACGATGAATATTTAAGTCCAGGTTCCTTCTTTCCATCCATCCATCCATCCATCCATCCATTTTCTTCCCCCTATCCGGGGTCGGGTCGCGGGGGCAGCAGCTTCAGAAGGGAGCCCCAGACCTCCCTCC